GGAGAAGGTGCTAGTGGGTGGTCTCCACTAAAAGGTTGGTTCCGCTTCTGTGGCCTTTGAGTTTAAATATATACTTACACAAAAACTACAGTGTGATTTTATTTCACCTTTAGATGGAATCCAGCTAATTGTTTCCCCTTGTTTCCAGTCTTTGTGCTAAGCTACACTAACTGTCTGCAGGCTGTAACTTTTCTGACCCTTAATAACAATGATGAACACTTATTTCCATAAATGATCCTCTAGCTTTGGATGTTTCCTCCGCAGGAGGTGGAAGTGATGATGCAACCAAGAGGCACCTTCATCTGAAGGCGTACATGTCGCCATGGGAGAAGGCCATGAAGGGTGATGAGATTCTGATAGCCACTCTCAAAGCGGGAATGCCCGGCCCGACTGAGCACAAGGATCTGCCCAAGTACAGAAGCTTCAACAGGTACTTTCACCCAGACCTGACTCCGTAGATGCTTTTGTGACGAAGAGGAGCTTTAAGAATCCTCTCACCTCTCTTTGCCAGGTTTGCCATGCCCTTCGGCGGCTTCGAGAAGGCCAACCAGTTTCTGAAATTCCAGCTGCCAGAATCCGAGGCGACCAAACCGGAGCCTGAACCCGCAGTGGTGTACCAACAAGACATCGGCTGCCGGCCTTCCTTCAACCGCACTCCTATTGGCTGGGTGGGCAGCAGCGAGCCCAGCAGCATTCACATGGAGAACGATGTTGTGCCCTTTGATGGAGAGACCGACGAGCTGTGAAAAGATATTCATACTGTGAATACACTCACTGTGCACACACAAATACACACACACGCAGGCATGAATGCATGCACACATGTTAGCATGCACACACATGATAGATGAGCTTACAGTTCACTGTTATATTGATGAATTTGAATCTCTCAATGTGGATATCTGAAAGCGTACAAGATGTATTTGGTTGTAGGGAAAAGAAACAAGTTTAGGTCTTACAGGGAGATGAAACATCAGACGTCTATTTATTAAGTTCACAAGTGGAGTCTAATAACTCTATAATTTGTCAGAAAAGTTTTTGTTCTCGGTGAGAAGTTGCAGATTTTGTTGATGAGGAAAGAATGAATCATGTATGAAGGATAGATTTATGCTATATTACTGCTGCGCATGCTGTCTCTATGTCAACTTGTTACGATATTTGTTTTTACCCAGTGCCTTTTTTGTTGTTAAGACTCTCTGATCTTTTGTTGGGCAATGAAAACGTTGATAACCTGTCGAATTCAGGATGCATGCATAGTCAGTTGCTCATTCATCAATCAACCATTTCTCCACAATAAATCATTTAAAATGAATAATGTAACACCATAAAAATAAACCATGTATCAATCCTCTTGCAGAGTGGTGCAGTGTCAGGAGAAATCATTGTGTGTGTGTGAAACTTCTTATTTAAATAAATGTTTGTTTGTCAAAGTTTCCCATATTTGCATGTACAGGTTCCAGCCCTTGTTTTCATGATATTGGTGCAAAAGTGTGTCTAGTTTGCCCGAAATGAAATACACTTATGTCATGACTTAATAACTCAAATATAAATAAAAGAAGTTGCCTGGTGTCGGTTAGCTCAGTTGATATATGTTTCATATCTTAGAAGTCGATTACATGTTTTAGAGGCTCTTCCAAGGACGTTATGTTTTGTTTGTTTGTTTGCGAGCAAGATAACAAAAAAAACTACTAAACAGATTACCTCAAAATATGAAGGAAAATGTGTTAAATTTGGGTGAGGGTTCAGGAAATCTTTTTCACTTGGGTTAGGGTTAGAGTCTAAAGTCTAACCCTAGACTTGTGTTTATGAGTGTGAGCAGTTTGGTGCAGATCCAAATAAAAATCTGGATCCAGTGGAATTAAGAGCCATTTTTGTAAATCATGATCCTCGCAT